GACCCACATTGGAGCACTGGACTGGCTCCCAAGGTTCAAATGAGGAGCAGAAGGAGGGAGAGCATGAGCAAGGAAGTCAGGACCACGAGGGGTGCGCCCACCCACTGAGACGGCTGGGCTGTTCTAATGGGAGCTCACCAAGGCCAACTGGACTGGTACTAAGGGAGTATGTGATCAGACTGGACTCTCTGAATGTGGCTGGCAATGAGGGCTGACTGAGAAGCCAAGGACAATGGCACTGGGTTTTAATTCTACTACATGTACTGGCTTTGTGGGAGCCTAGTCTGTTTGGAAGCTTACCTTCCTAGAACTTGATGAAATGGGGAGGACCTTGGACTTCCCACAGGGCAGGGAAACCTGACTGCTCTTTGGACTGGAGATGGAGGTGGAGGGGGAGAGGGGGAGGGAAAAGGGAGGAGGTGGAAATTTTTAATAAAAAATAAAAAATTTGCTAAAAAAAGAGGTTGAAAACTTTACAATCATAACACAAATTTAAAGAACCCTCCCTGACTCGATGAAACAATTGTACAAACATATAAGTGTTAATATAAATGGCTGAACAACACCAGTCTCCATGTTAGCTAACAGAGAAAAATATGAAAGAAAAAACAGGTAAATAGAAAGACAGACAGAGAAACGCACGCATATATATATATATATGTATATATATATATATTAGATACATATATAGGTGATAAATATGTACATAGATGATAAAATAGATGAAAATACATAATTTTGATAGATGGATGGATAGATAGATATTTAGATAAACAGATAGATATAGATATACATAAAAAGAGATGATATAAATAACAAGAGAGTAAGTATATGATAAAAGATTGAAGAAAATAATTACATCTTATTTAACAGAATGCTAATCTTTTTAATACATAAAATGCTTTCCTTTATATATAAAATATGACATGCTGTGAAACAAATCTCAATATATTTAAAATACTGAAATTGTACATAAAGCACTCTTACCTTCATTGACATTAAAGTGGAAATAAGAAGTATTACTCTAACTAGGAAAAATGCTAATATGTGGAAACTGGAGAATTTAATTCCTAATAATATATAAGATAACCCAAGAGAAATTATAGTACATTTTGAACCAAATGAAACTTTTAAAAAGTGGATTCAAATATAAAAGATATAGCCAAAGAGGTGATTAGAGATAATTTTACAATATAGTAATGCCTATGATAAAAATTAACATTTAATTATTTTCACTTCCATCTCATAAAAAGAAGAATAAGTGAGGCAAAATTTAAAAACACAAAATTTAAGAAAAGAATCAATAAAATTCAAAGCAGAAAACATATACACAATGATCAATGAAACCAAATTTGAGATACCTCAAATATATGTTAAATTAATAAGCAAATAAAGAGACCCATATCAAAATATCAGATTTGAAAGAGGCACATCACTGTAGAGTCTACATCCAATGAAAGGACAATAGTGCAATCTCATCAGCAATTTGATGACAAGGTAGTGGTTGCCTTTTATCTGCACATTCAATTACTTGAGGTCTCTGGCAGTCTGAAAATATATGGAAATGATAGGGGCACACATCATAAGTTTTCAGTAACTCTTATTACAGAACTTTCTCGATTATTCTATCTCACCTATGAATTCATTGATAATTGATAATCTCTTAGCAGCTGAAATTCATAAAGTGAAAATGATCGAGTATATATGAGAAAAATCCTTTTTAATTCAAGTTTTGGTGCTACTCAGGGCTTTGGGCTTGACCAAAGATTTTACAATTGGTCCCTCAAAGACATGGAGGGGATGGTTATTTTATATGTCATATCCTACATGAAATGAACAAATTTCTTACAATATGAAAGTGTCAAATTTAACCCATGAAAAATTTCAAAACCTGAATCCTCTATGTCAATCAAAACTTGAATTTGTAATTTAAAAACCTTCGTACAGAGAAAACACTATGAGTGAATTGCTCCAGTAGGGACTTCTATCACACATTTAGGAAAAATATCCTACCAATTGTTTGTATAATCTTTCAGAGACTAATAGAAGACAGAAGGCTTCCAAAACCCCTTTAGGTGTCAGTCTTGAAAGTATAAAGACTTCTACCCAAATTCGGACAAACACTTCATAGGAAGATGAACTCTAAATTCACATCTATTCTGAAAGATGAGTGTATACTGTCGGATATTACATGAGGTGATCCAAACTTTGAAAGAGAAGAACTCAAGTTTCCCCTCTTACAGCAGCCTTAACCCATAATTCATATAAAGAAGTAACAGTTGTAAGTGTGGGTGGAGCCCAAGCCCATAGAAAGGAGAGCAGGACAAGGCAATGTGAAGATGAACAGACTGAAGACAAAGGGCATGTGATTCACGAGAGAGAGCGTAAAGCTGATGTTTTCCCCTAGTTTTCATGGTGCGTATGTGAATTCAACTTTCTTTGGGTTCCAGGAACAATAGTCATTTTTACATTCCTAAATAATCCAAAATGTCACCTTCTTTTGAGGCAGGAATTGTAAACGTCAGGCTTTCTTTTTAACTCCATTTACTACAAATGTGATAGGAAATACACATGCTGAATATATTTACCCACTTAGAAAAAGTGATTTTTTTTTCAAATTTCTAATAGAGAGGAGAGTTTGTAATACCTGGAAGTTTTCTCTTTTTCCTTTTTTCTAGAACTGTATCAAACCGTTTTATTATAGAGCTGTGGAGCATGTAAATTGGACTGCTATACATAAAATAAAACCTGGTTTTTTAGGAAAAGATGAATACAAAACAGTAAAATGTGTTCTTTCAAAATTTACAGGGAAACATTTCCCAGGTTAAGACTTTTTTAAACCCTCTGAAAAATGAAAATGGAAGCAAGTTGTTCCATGGCACCCATGGATTCCTATAGCCAGTGCCAGTCAGCTACAAGATCTCTCTGTCTCTCTCTGTCTCTGTCTCTCTGTCTGTCTCTCTCTGTCTCTCTCTGTCTCTCTCTCTCTCTCTGTGTGTGTGTGTGTGTGTGTGTTTGTGCGCGCGCGCGCGCGCGTGCTTGCGTATTCTCCAACTTCTCATTAATAATACAATAAGTTCCCTGGCTAGGTTAATGAGGCCAGAACACTTAACTTAAAAATCACGAAGTTTGAAAAGAGTAAAGTGAAACTGTACATAGAGGACATGCTTACAGTCATAGCCAACTAAAGAAATCAATAAAAAGTTGGCTAGAACTAATGAATGACCTAAGTAATGTCTTATGACATAAAGTTAATAGAGCAAGAGTGCAGTTTAATACACTAGAGATGATAAGTTGGAAAATAAACTTTTAAAAAAAGGACCAATGCTATTTCAATTTTAAATGCATCATAATAAACTAGACAAAGCCTGCCTAAGGATCAAAACCAGAAAAGTAATAAATACATATGGAAACAAAAGAAGAGCTAATGAACAGAGATAGACCATGTTCTTAGAGCAGAAGATTAATATAGGTAAAACAGCAACTCTCCACAAGTATTTAACCAGGTTTCTGGCAAAGTAAATAATAATGCGGGAGGATAGGATTTGTTGAGGAAATTTTGTAGGCTGTTTTATATAAAAACGATTAAATAAATGAAAATAGTTGAAAACAAATATGAACTCTAGAATAATGTCACAGTGCTTATTTAAGAAGTCATGGTGAGCCTAACAAGTGTGGTATTACCACAGCAGCAAATCAAAAAGTAAATAGATACATCTTTACAACTAACCAGTTCTCGACAAAACACTAGGGTACCTGGCTGGCTTTAGGAGAAAAGAGCCGCAATCTTTACTTCATATCATACATACTAATTAACTGCAAAAGGATAAGGGTCCTAAACACTTAACCAGATCGGGTATCGTTCAGCTTCTAAAACAAAACATACAAAGTGAACCTAGTGGCTTTGGAGATTCCTTGTATCGAAACCATGAGAATAGTGACAAATCCCAAATGTTTACTCCTCTAAAAACAGGTAAAGATAATGCAGCTCATAGCTGGCAAATAAGAAACTGAGTTTCCATGTCAGGCATATTAGGCATCTGTGTGGACTCCGGACTCATTCCGAAGTAAATTTCTGGAGTAGAAAAATTCACACATATCATTATATTTATGTGAAGAAGCATAATACATTCTTAAACACACTAAAGGTCAATGACAATGCCTAACATGAGCATCAAACAAGGCTAAAGTACTAAGACATGTTTTGCTTTTTGAAAGTAGTTTTTTAAAGTAGGTAAGTTTTCCTCAACATATTACAAAGAAGGCAAGTAATAACCAGGAACTAATATTAAATATTAAAGTGAAGAGGTTACAGATGGAAAATAGGCCTGCCAGGGTACTTGTGCCCCAGCGCTAATTTTATAGTTGAGTATATGCACTTTAGATTCTGTCTACTAAAACTACAAAGGTTGACCCAGAAGGACAATTCTCTTCAAGTCACTCCTATACTTATAACATTCACAATAAAAGATTTTCCAGTTCTTTAATCAGTAGCCTTTGTTGCCCGGTTCTAATGACATACAGCGGCTAGGGGTGAGTGAGCCATGTAAGAAACAGAATCAAAGGCCCAGATCTGAAGTCAGGTCCATGGTGGTTCTGGTTCTCACCCTTGGCAGCTGAGCCATTTAGACCCTGCTGGGCCACCGTCTGTCACAGCTGTGTGAAGTCAGAGGCAAAAAGGTAGGGAATGTTCACCAGCTATAGTAGGTCATTTTTCACCAGCTGCACATGGTTCTATGGAGGAAAAAAAAAAAACGTAGGGGGCCTTAGTGACTGGGAAATATCCTCAGTAGCTTCTCCAGAGATGGATGAGGTCTCTTACCTGGGAGTTAGGCCTGCGGAGACACTTTGGGGAGAGTCCAGGCTCCTCTAGGCTTTCTGACATTCTCCATCCAAACTCCCCACAGGCTGTGGTGTATCTTACTGCACAGACTCTCACAGCACCCAGATACTAGAGGCACAGTGATTAATGATGCAAACCGCAATTCGGAGTCACCTACCTGTTCTAGAAGTCCCCGCGAAATCACAGCCTGAGCTGGGCCCTCTGTAGGTGCCTGAGAGGTACTTGCCAAAATAGATTAACCTCAATAGTCATAGTCTTCTATCACGGACAAATCCACATCAAAGCGTTTTTGTTTTGCTCTCATTTGGTTGGTTGTAGCTGTGTTTTTACTTCTCTGTAGTATTTTCTGGTGGGGAAATACATAAAACAGGGAAAACTAAACTTTATTCGGTACTAGTAGTTCCTACTGTTTTAAACCCTCTTCCGTTGCTCCAAAGTCCTGTTTCAATTTTCAGCCAAACCAAATAGAGGGTTGTTCCTGCAACGAAGTCAGGGAGATGGAATGGTCTAGAATTAACAACAAAGTAAGGCTTTGCCAAGGTGATGAAATAGTAAAATTTATTTGGACAGTCATAATATTTCTTTCTGCTTCAACCATGGGTACTTCTCTTGGCTATGTTAAAACATGCCTTCCTTGAGAAAGGCTCCGGCATCTCTCACCCATAATTTAGCTAATCAGTGTGATGGGCTTGTGGGGAAATTTATATCTTAAGGTACAACTCTACAGTTTTCCTGAAAAGCTTCACTGCCTGGACAAGCAACTTTGGAACTGGGAGAGTCCCTAAAGAGGGCCTTTGCTACCTACGAGCTGGTGTTTTCTATACATAAAATCAGCCTTGTCCTGTAGTTTTCATTTTTGAATACTCTCCATTTCTACCTCTTTTGGCTCCCCACACATCTGATCTGCTGTATTGTTGCTTCTCTGGGTAAAATATGAATCGGGATTGCGGATTGCTAATGACTTAATAGAGCTACTGCCAGGGAGTGATTAGCCACCTGGGAAGAGGCAAGCAGAAGGTGTCATCAAGTACATCTGCGCATGTAAAGAGTTAATGCATTTCCAAACACTGCTTCCCTTAGGAGAATAGCCCTAGCTTTGAAAGAGGGGGAAAAATCCAGGTGTGCCTGATGGAAAATGCCAAAGAGGCTGCTTTTAGGAGATATCGAACTCCAGACTTTAAATGATTTAAATGCAATCCCCGTGTGTAGCCGCTAAACCAAAGCGCCTCACCCCAGGGAAGAGATGAAAAATTTTGAGGGCGATTGAGCACTGAGAATTCTCATCCTGGCTTAGCAAAAAGTGACTTACCACTTGTGTTTCCACAATTAGGAAGCGTCAGAGTGCTCACTGGCTCTGAAACACTCACCATGTGACAACTCTTGTGCCAGTCTGAGAGGCAATCAGATGAGGCAGGAGTGGACACCCCATGCCTCTGCAATCTGCTAATGCTCAAGGCAGCTTTTCCTCTGGGAATGTTTGACTTGGGCATTCAAGCTAAGATTACTCATTGCCCCCCCCCCCCTTTTAGCATAGGTAGAGCTAATCAGGGGAAAAGAGTGGGTTGAGATGCTTGTTAAATAACTACATTCCTGCAGCAGGTACTTAGGGGCCTGAGGCTCTATATATGGTTTTCATGAATCTACCTGGGAAGGGGAAATAGAATAGATTTTGTGCCTGGACAGTGGGTTGAGAGATGGGTACAGGAGGAATCTTACGGGAGATGGGAGAGACAGAGGGAAAAAGTACTGAAAGAGATGACTGGAATTGGAGAGGATTTAGGGGTCAACACAGAAACCTAATACAGTAGAAACTTTCTAGAATCTATGAGATTGCCCAGGCGAAGCCTCCTAGTGAAGGGGACTACAGAGCCCCCACTGGCCATCTTCTATAACTAGGCAAGGCTCCCAGGAGACGGACTGTAACATCGACCCAGCCACAAAACCTTCGATCTACAATCTGTCCTGAGTGGGAGCAAATACAGGGATCCATAGCCAAACACTAGGCAAAAATGGGGAACCCTGCAGAAGAGGGGGGAGCAGGTTGTAGGAGTCAAAGGAGACAACAACAGCATAAGAAAGGGGCCCACAGAATCAACTAAGCAGGATTCATAAGGATTCACAGAAACTGAAGCAATAAACACGGACCCTCTATGGGTCTGAACTAGGTCCTCTGTAACATACCTTATGGTTGTATAGCTTGGTGGTCTTATGAAACTTCCAACAATGGGAGTGGCGGTATCTTTGACTCTTTTGCCTGGACTTGGGACCCTTTTTCTCCCACTTAGTTGTCATATTCAGCCACAGTATGAGGGTTTGTGCCCAGTCTTACCGTGTCTTCTTAGGCCATGATGCTTCAGTGGATATCTCTGGGAGGACTGCTGGTTTTTTGTCAAGGGAAACAGGAGTTTATCTGGGGTAGGGTGGGGAGGGGTTGGGAGGAGTACAGGGAGGGGGAAATGGTCCGGATGTAATGTAGGAGGGAAGAATAAAAGTTAAAAAAAAATGAAGATCTAGTGCTGTTGCTGCTTTTTACTCTTCCTCTTTTGGGTCTTTCCTCTTTGCTCTTCCAAAGGGCCTGCCACCCAGCTCCCACATAAGCCACAGGGAATCTTATCATTACCTACAAATGTCTGCTCGTAGCTTGTCTTGTTGCTAACCAGCTTTTCTTATTTTATCCCATCTACCCTTTGCCTCTGGGCTTTTTTCTTTCTTACTTCTGTATGTCTTATTTTCACTCTTACTCCATGGTTGGCTGGGTGATTGGCCCCTGATGTCCTCCTCTCCTTGTTCTCTCATTCCTTTTCTCTTCTAGATTTTTCTTTATATTTATGCTCTCTGGCAGACAGCTCCACCAATCCTTCCTCCTGTCTTGCTATTAGCCATTCTGCTCCTTATTAGACCATCAGTTGTTTTAGGCAGGCAAATAAGCAAACCTTCACAAAGTTAAACAAGCACAGCACGAATGAAAGCAACATATTTGTACATCGTTAGACAAGTGTTCCAGAATGTAAACAAATGTAACACACCTTGTGGCTAGGGAGATGACTCAGAGGTTTTAAGAACACTGGCTGTTCTTCCAAAAGACCTGAGTTCAATTCCCAGTAACTACATGGTGACTCACAACCATCTTTAGTGGGATCTGATGCCCTCTTCTGGCATAAAGTCACTCATGTACATAAAATAAATAAATAAATCTTTTTTTAAAAAAAAAAAACTTAAAACAAATGTAACACACCTTAAAATAATACCCTATGACAATCTAGGGTTAGCACACTCCTCTCTAACTCTGCATAAGTCAATAAGACAATCTTGCTAGACCCCAGAAGGATTTTATAATACTCTCAAAAACCTACCTTTCTTGTGGACATTAGCAACACTTCTGGCTATTCCTTTCTCATTTCATCGTGCAGACACTCCATCGGAATACTCAGCTCTAACGTCACAGTTTCACTTGCCTCTGCTATCTTGCACATGTGGTCAGGCACCACAGATTCTCTTGTCTCTGCAGTTTCTAACCTAGTAAAAATAATCTTGTGCTGCTTTTACTGTCTATAACTGTAGTGTATTCATTTCACTGCTTTTACAATTAGTTATGTTACTATCTCAATATACATCCACATACTCTTGATGGGATTTAGATTAGAACTATTAACAATGTATGAACATTCTTAGATATAGCTTTGGGGGCAAATAAATATTCACGGCTTTTATATTTGTTGGTAAGTTTGGAGGGTATGATTACTAGGGGCCTTCATGGTTAAGGTCAAACACATGGGTAAATTCATTATGTAATCAAAACCATAGAATTTATAAAAGTTAAACTCAAATTATTTAGAGTCATAACTTCTGATGCCTTGCCCAGAGGGCTGAGATAGATCTAACAAGAAACCCGCCTCCCTGAAGACTAGCTCTTTTGATACCAGAAGATGTCATACAAGCTTCCAAAGGAGAGAAGCAACCAATAATTCTACCAATCTATGATGCTATGACGCATATGAACCACAACAATGACCAGCATGGCATGGTAACCATAGAGATGCAGTAGCAGACACATACCTTGGTGGTAGCAACAGTTCTCTAATTAGAATAAATTACTGACAACTGCTCAACAAGAGGAAGTCATGTTGAGTAATACAAACATAACCAACTTCCCAGGGCTAATAAAGTCATGGATCTTGGAGGAGATCCTACAACAGCTAATTTAGGAAAACATCGCATAATTACTAACTACATTCTAAATATTTATCCATAAACCCACAGATAAGTGTGGTAGAATAATCTTTGTGTACACTGTAGAATATGTGTCACTTTGATTGGTTCAATAAAAAGCTGAACAGCCAAAAACTCGGCAGAATTCAGGGCAGAAAGGGTGGAGTTGCCAACCTGACATGCAGGGAGACAGAGCAAGACATGCAGGACAGGTAAATGCTATAAGTCATGAGACAAAGTAAATGAACAGAAATTGGTTAATTTAAGTTATAAGGCCTAGTGAAACAAGTCTAAGCTACTGGCCAAACTTTCATAATTAATAATATGTCTCTGTGTCATAATTTTGGAGTTGGATGACAGGGCTGAAAAATCTGCCTACAAATGGTACCCAATATCCAGTCATATATATTTACATAAGATCTGAGAAATCTTTTTTTAAAAAAATGATTAGAAATATGAATTCAAACATGGCTTACTGATGATGGTGGTCTCTCAGGTTGAGTTAGTACTAGTAACATACAAAAGCATGGCTCTTTTAGGAGACCCTGCCACCAAGCACTTGAATGAGGCTTAAGAGCAGTGGATGGCATGCTACTCAGTGACATGAGACTAGGCAGAAATGCCTATAGCAGCATGGAAACAGAAACTTCCCAGAGTTGGAGCAGTAAAAGTGGTTCCCACCAGTACCAGTGCCATGAGGCTAGGTTCTCAGAGAACCGGGTGTGGGGGGGAGACAGAGACACCTATAATCATGCCATGAGCTAAGCTACACAGTTATTTAACATTTTGCTCAAGCAGAGAGAAAAGATTACAGATATACAGTAAAGAAGTTTCAGAAGTAAAAAATTAAAAAAAAAACTCTAAATGCATAGATTTAAGAAAACAAAAAAGGGTATAGACAGTCACAAAAAATATATAAATAAATAGTTTAAAATTTTAAAGATAGAGTAAAGTAATAAAAAAAAATAAACCATGAGAGTTGGGAAATACACAGGGAATCTGTATCCTGCATGTTAGTGTGTTGTCTTTGATATTTTTTTTTGTTTGCTTCTGGTGAACAGATGATAGTTGTTGAGAGACATTGGGAAATGGAAAAAGCTAAATTAAACCAACCTATATATTTTAGAAATATTTTAACTTCCAAATGAAAGTAAAAAATTGGTGGCATTTGAGAAGAGGTTATGCTTTTGTTACCAC